CACATAATGATCAAAGGATTAATCTAAGAAGAAGATATAACAAGTGTAAATATACACGCACCCAACACAGAAGCACCTCAATATATAATGCAAATATTAACAGCCATAAAAGGAGAAATCAACAGTAACACAATAATAGTGGGGGACTTTAACACCCCAGTTACATCAATGGACAGATCATCCAGACAGAAAATCAATAAGCAAACACAGGCCTTAAATGACACATTAGACCAGATGGACTTAATTGATATTTATAAAGTATTCCATACGAAAGTAGCAAAATACATATTCTTTTCAAGTGCACATGGAACATTCTCCAGGATAGATCACATGCTGGGCCACAAAGCAAGCCTCAGTAAATTTAAGAAAACTGAAAACACATCAAGCATTTTTTCTGACCACAATGCTATGAGATTTGAAATCAACCACAAGAAAAAAAACTGCAAAAAACACAAAAACATGGAGGTTAAACAATATGCTACTAAACAACCAATGGATCACCAAAGAAATCAAAGAGGAAATCGAAAAATACCCAGAGACAAATGAAAATGAAAACATGACAATCCAAAACCCATGGTATGAAGCAAAAGCAGTTCCAAGAAGAAGTTTATAGCGATACAAGCTTACCTCAGGAAAGAAGAAAAATCTCAAATAAACAGCCTAACCTTATATCTAAAACAACCGGAAAAAGAAGAACAAACAAAACCCAAAGTTACTAGAAGGAAAGAAATCATAAAGATCAGAGCAGAAATAAATGAAAGACAGACTAAGAAAACAAAAGAAAAGATGAATGAAACTAAAAGCTGGTTCTTTGGAAAGATAAACAAAATTGATAAACCTTCACCCAGACTTATCAAGAAAAAAGAGGAGGGCCCATATCAATAAAATTAGAAATGAAAAAGGAGAATTTACAACTGACACCACAGAAATACAAAGGACCATAAGAGTCTACTACAGGCCAACAACATGGACAATAAAATATACCAATAAAATGGACAATCTAGAAGAAATGGATAAATTCTTTAAAAAGTACAATCTCTCAAGACTGAACCAGTGGGAAATAGAAAATATGAACAGACCAAAATATGAACAAACAACTACTGAAATTGAATCTGTGATTTAAAAACGTCCAACAGAAGTCCAGGACCAGACGGCTTCACAGGTGAATTCTATCAAACATTTAGAGAAGAGTTAACACCTATCTTTCTGAAACTATTCCAAAGAACTGCAGAGGGAGGAACACTTCTGAACTCATTCTATGAGGCCACCACCACCCTGATACCAAACACCAGACAAAGACACCACAAGAAAAGAAAATTACAAGCCAATATCACTGATGAACATAGATGCAAAAATTCTCAACATAGTCTAGCAAACCAAATCCAACAATACATTAAAAGAATCATACATAATAATCAAGTGGGCTTTATCCCAGGGATGCAAGGATTTTCAATATCCACAAATCAATCAGTGTGATACACCACATCAACAAACTGAAGAATAAAAAACATATGATCACCACGATAGATGCATAAAGAGCTTTTGATAAAATTCAACATCCATTTATGATAAAAACTCTCCAGAAAGTAGGCATAGAGGGAACCTACCTCAACATAATAAAGGCCATATATGACAAGCCCAGAGCTAATGTCATACTCAATGGTGAAAACTGAAAGCATTTCCTCTAAGATCAGCAAGAAGACAAGGATGTCCACTCTCACCACTTTTATTCAACATAGTTTTGGAAGTCCTAGTCACAGAAATCAGAGAAGAAAATGAAATAAAAGGAATCCAAATTGGAAAAGAAGAACTAAGACTGTCACTGTTTTCAGGTGACATGATACTATCCATAGAAAATCCTAAACATGCTACCAGAAAATTACTAGAGCTCATCAATGAATTCAGTATAGTTGCAGGATACAAAATTAATACACAGAAACCCATTGCCTTTCCATACACTAACAAGGAGAGATCAGAAGAAATTAAGGAAACTATCCCGTTTATCATCGCATCAAAAAGAATAAAGTACCTAGGAATAAACCTACCTCAGGAGGCAAAAGACATGTACTCTGATAACTCTAAGATGCTGAGGAAAGAAACTGAAGATGACATAAACAGATGGAAAGATATACCATGTTCTTGGATTGGAAGAATTAATATTTTCAAAATGATGATACTACCCAATGCATTTTTCACAGAAGTAGAACAAAAAAACATTTAAATTTGTATGGAAACACAAAAGACCCCGAATCTTGAGAAAGAAAAACAGAGCTGAGGAAATCAGGCTCCCTGACTTCAGACTATACTACAAAGCTACAGTCATCAAAACAGTATGGTACTGGCCCAAAACAGACATACAGATTAATGGAACAGGATAGAAAGCCCAGAAATAAACCCACACACTTATGGTCAACTAATCTATGACAAAGGAAGCAAGAATATACAATGGAGACAGTCCCTTTAACAAGTGGTGCCAGGAAAACTGGACAGCTACATGTAAAATAATGAAATTAGAACATTCTCTAACACCATATACAAAAATAAAATGAATTAAAGATCTAAATATAAGACCAGATACTATAAAACTCCTAGAGGAAAACACAGGCAGAACACTCTTTGACATAAATCACAGCAATATTTTTCTGGATCTGTCTCCTACAGTAATGGAAATAAAAACAAAAATAAACAAGTGGGACCTAACTAAACTTAAGAGCTTTTGCACAGCATAGGAAACCATAAACAAAAGGAAAAGACAACCTACAGACTGCGAGAAAATATTTGCAAATGATACAAACAGCTCATACAATTCAATAACAATAAAAACCAAACAATCTAATCAAAAAATGGGCAGAAGACCTAAACAGACATTTCTCCAAAGAAGACATACAGATGGCTTAACAGGCATATGAAAAGATGCTCAATATCACTAATTATTAGAGAAATGCAAATCAAAACTACAATGAGTTATCACCTCACACCAGTCAGAATGGCTATCATCAAAACATCTACAAATCACAAATGCTGGAGAGGGTGTGGAGAAAAGGGAACCTTTCTACACTGTTGGTGGGAATGTAAATTGGTGCAGCCACTATGGAGAACAGTACGGAGGCTCCTTATAAAACTAAAAGTAGAGCTACCATATGATCTTGCAATCCCAATCCTGGGCATATAACCAGAGAAAACTATACTTCAAAAAGATACATGCACCCCAGTGTTCACTGCAGCAGATGAATGAATAAAGAAGTTGTGGTATATATATATACCACACACACAGACAGACACAGACACAGACACACACACACACACACACACACACACACACACACAATGGAATATTACTGAGTCACAAAAAAGAATGAAATCATGCCTTTGCAGCTACATGGATGGGCCTAGAGATTATCATGCTAAGTGAAGCCAGACAGAGAAAAAAAATGTCATATGATTATTGCTTATATGTGGAATCAAAAAATAAAAGATACAAATGAACATATTTCAAAACAGAAACAGACTCAAAGACATAGAAAACAAATTTATGGTTACTAAAGGGGAGAGGGATAAATTAGGAGTTTGGGATTAACATATATACACCCCTATGTATAAAAGAGATAACCAGCAAGGACCTACTCTATAATATAATAGCACTGAGAACTATACTCGATATTTTGTAATAACCTATCAGGGAAAAGAATCTGAAAAAGAATATATATATATATATATATATATATATATATACTTTGCTGTATACCTGAAACTAACATTATATTCTAAATCAGCTATATAGTTCCATAAAAAATAAGGTAAAGAAAATGGCACAGAGCTATTCACATACATTGTACCAATGCCTATTTCCTTGTGTTGAGGCTATATTTTAGTTACGTAAGATATAACCATTAGGGGAAACTTGTGAAGAATACAACTATGCTAAATCCTGTGAATCTTAATTATGTTATATAAAAATTTTTTAAAGTATATATTCAAACCAAAAGCAATCTGAAAACATTTTCTTCTTAAAAAGGCAAGCCAGAGCTAGAGAATACAACATTTGCAAAACATATATCTGATAAAGATCTAAACTCCTTCAACTCAACAATAAGATGCAAACCAAATATACAAAAAAATGGGCAAAAGATTTCATGAGACACTTCATTAAAGGAGATTATGAATGGTTAAAAAGCACATGAAAAGAAGTTCAACACTGTTAATTACCAGAGAAATGCAAATTAAAATCCAATAAGATGCAACTAGAAATGTTGGTAATCAAAGAGCAATGATAACTCTCAGACATTGCTTATAGGCATGAAAAACAGTAGACCCAACTTGGGAACATTTGGCACTTTCTGAATAAGTTACATATAAACTTACCAGAAGACCCAGTAACCCCACTCCTAGGTATTTACACAAGAAATGAAAACATATTGACACAAAGACTTATATGTGAATGTTCATAGAAGCTTTTTCATAACAGCCCCAAACTGGAAAAACACCCATGTGTCTATGAACTGAAAGGATAACAAACTGCGGTATATGCACACAAAGGAATTCTACTAAGGATAAAAAGAATAAACCTGTGATACACACACACACACACACACACACACACACACACACACACACGAGTCTCAAAAGCATCATGCTAAATGAAAGAAGCCAGACAAAACACAGTATATACTTTACGAATTCATTTATATAAAATTCGAAAAAAGGAAAAGCTATTGAAATAGAAAACAGATCAGTGATTGCTTGGGGTCTGAGAAGTAGGAATGAAAGGAGGGGACTCACTGCAAAGGGGTACAAGGAATTTTGGGGGGATGATGAAAATAATCCAAATCGTGAATTTGATGATGGTAATCTACTATATAATCTTTTAAAACCTATTGACTTGTACACTGAAAAGTGCTAAATTTTCCATTTAATATTTGTCAACAAAAGTGATTAACATTTAAAAGGAGAAAAAACTGAATTTGCATTCCTGAGGAAGTCACATGGTAAGGTCTGCTCACCCACTGAGACGAGGTGGCTGTAGTTCTCCAACATCACATCTCTGTACAGAGTCCTCTGAGCAGAGTCCATCTGCCACCACTCCTCCTGGGTGAACTCCACAGTCACGTCCTTGAATGACACTGATGCCTGTTAACAACATATTTCTAATCAATCTGAGGGTTCAGAATTGGGCCATGGAAAATATTTTTGAAAACTAACTCCTACTATGTTTACTGTTTATTTAATTTTTATTTTTTAGTGGACTATAGTTGATTTACAATGCTGTATTAGTTTCAGGTGTGCAGCAAAGTGATTCAGTTATGCATATACATATATCTATTCTTTTTCAAATTCCTTTCCCATTTGTGTTATTACAGAATATTGAGCAGAGTTCCCTGTGCTACACAGTAGGTTCTTGTTGGTTATCTATTTTAAATATACTAGTGTGTATATGTCAATCCCAAACTCCCAATTTATCCCTCCCTCCCCACCTTTCCAACCATGTTGCTGCAAATGGCATTATTTCATTCTTTTTAATGGCTGAGTAGTATTCCATTGTATATATATATACCACATCTTCTTTATCAGTTCATCTGTTGATGGACATTTAGGTTGCTTCCATGCCTTGGCTATTGTAAACAGTGCTGCAATGAACACTGGGGTGCCTGTATACTTTCGAACCATGGTTTTCTCCAGATATTTTTTACTGTTTAGAGTTTAAAACAAAATGCTATAAAAGATGACTAACCCTGCCTTTGCTCTATAGCAGGGTATCTTCAATTTGGCATTACTGACACTCTGGACCAGATAATGCTATTTTTGCGGAAGACTGTCCTGTGTATTTTAGGATATTTATCAGTATCCCTGTTTTCTACTGATTAGATACCAATAGCATTCCCAGTCATGACAATCAAAAATACCTCCAAACACTTCCAAATGTCTCCTGGGAAGCAAAATCACCCCTAGTTAGGAACCATCGTTCTATATGAATAGTGGACAATATCTTCAGCAACAAAACAAAATACCCAGTTTAAGAGATGACCTATACTAAGGCAAAGCAACAGAGATAAAGAATGGGAAATTAATACATAGAGATGCTGCACAAGCAAGTGGGTAGATGCTGATGCCATACACAGAGACTGGAAGAATAAGTAAGAATCAGAGGCTGGGTCACGGTGAGCAGATGTTGTTCAACTGGACTCAAAACACCCGTGGAACATACAGATGGAATTATTTATTTCACCACTGGCTGCAAGATTCTGGAACAGAGAAGGGAAATCTAAAATGAAAATAAGGATCTAAGAGACAGTCATTAAGATGGTAACTTAAGTCATCAGGGAAAAAGGGCTGGTTCAGAAAGGACATAGAAACTTTAGGAAAGAAAAGGAGCAAGTACAAAATTGAAGGGAATAGCAAAATTTAAAAGGCAGGTACAAAGATAGGCCAGGAAGGCTAAGAAAGAATTTCTAAGTGGTAGAAAGAGAAAACAGAAAGATTAGAGTACCAGAAATTAAGAAACGAGAGAATTACAAGCAAAAATTATTTCTCAAGTTGAAGGGAATAAACTGAACACACACATTTACATCCTCTGCCTCCAAAAACACATTCAGGTAAAATAAAAAGCTTTTATAGCTATAAATGTATGACAAAGAGGAATTGAGAGAAACGACCCAGCACAAGGCCTGAATTTTGAACAAATTCTGGAAGATAGAGGGTAAGGTAGTATTGATAAAAAAAAATAGAACAATATTGCCCACAATCTAATATAAATGTAGAAGTGGGCAAAAGGAGCAGGGCACTGGTGAAAGCCCAGAAAGACATCCAAGCTTAAACTGAAGAAACTGTGTAGTAGGAGAAATGATAAACAGAGTCAATTTCCTATTTGAATACAGGTGGCATCATTTAAATGAGTGAGAAATGGCTAGATACAAATGCCATCGGAATAACTAGATGGTCATCTGATCTATATCTCACACCACAGAGCAGGATAAAATTAAAATGTATTCGAGATCTAACTGTAAAAAATAAAATCATACTCTAAAAGACTACACAGAGCAATTCTTTTATAAGGTCAGAATGGGAAATGCCCAACTATGACTAAAAAATCCAGAAAGCATAAAATAAAAAACTGCTAAACTTGACAACATAAAAATCAAATGCCTTCGAAAGACCCTGAATAGCCAAAGCAATTTTGAGAAAGAAGAACTGAGCTGGAGGTATCATGCTCCCTGACTTCAAACTATACTACAAAACTACAGTCGTCAAAACACTATGATACTGGCACAAAAACAGACATACAGATCAATGGAACAGGATAGAAAGCCCAGAAATAAACCCACACACCTATGGTCAACTAATCTATGACAAAGGAGGCAAGAATATACAAGGGAGAAAAGACAGTCTCTTTAACATGTGGTGCTGGGAAAACTGGACAGCTACGTGTAAAATAATGAAATCAGAACATTCTCTAACACCATACACAAAAATAAAATGAATTAAAGATCTAAATGTAAGACCACATACTATAAAACTCCTAGAGGAAAACACAGGCAGAACACTCTTTGACATAAATCACAGCAATATTTTTCTGGATCTGTCTCCTACAGTAATGGAAATAAAACCAAAAATAAACAAATGGGACCTAACTAAACTTAAGAGCTTTTGCACAGCATAAGAAACCATGAACAAAATGAAAAGACAACCTACAGACTGCGAGAAAATATTTGCAAATGATGCTACTGACAAGGGATTAATTTCCAAAATATACAAACAGCTCATACAATCCAATAACAATAAAAACCAAACAATCTAATCAAAAAATGGGCAGAAGACCTAAACAGACATTTCTCCAAAGAAGACATACAGATGGCTTAACAGGCATATGAAAAGATGCTCAATATCACTAATTATTAGAGAAATGCAAATCAAAACTACAATGAGTTATCACCTCACACCAGTCAGAATGGCTATATCAAAACATCTACAAATCACAAATGCTGGAGAGGGTGTGGAGAAAAGGGAACCTTTCTACACTGTTGGTGGGAATGTAAATTGGTGCAGCCACTATGGAGAACAGTACGGAGGTTCCTTAAAAAACTAAAAATAGAGCTACCATATGATCTTGCAATCCCAATCCTGGGCATATATCTGGAGAAAACCATACTTCGAAAAGATACATGCACCCCAATGTTCACTGCAGCATTTTACAATAGCCAAGACATGGAAGCAACCTAAATTTCCATCAACCAATGAATGGACGAAGATGTGGTGTGTATATATCTACATATATCTATATATATGCAATGGAATATTACTTAGCCATGAAAAAGAATGAAATCATGCCATTTGTAGCGACACGGATGGACCTAGAGATTATCATAATAATAAGAAGACAAATATTATATGATATCACTTATATGTGTAATCTAAAAAGATGATACAAATGAACTAACTTACAGAAGAGATATAAACACAAAGATGTAGAAAACAACTTATGGTTATCAAATGGCAAAGGGGGGGAGGGATAAATTAGGAATTTGGGATTAACATATGCACACCACAATGTATAAAACAGATAACCAACAAGGACCTACTGTATAGCACAGGGAGCTATACTCAATATCTTGTAATAACCTATAATGGAAAAGAATCTGATAAAGAATATATATACCGTATATATATGTATATACATTTGTATAACTGAATCACTTTGCTGTATACCTGAAACTAGCACAACATTGTAAATCAACTATATTTCAATACATTTTTTTAAATGCCAAAATAAGTTCACCACAGTTAAAAACAAAAAACAAATGGCTTTATGGCAAAAATAAGAAAAACATGAGCAAGGCAAAAATATGAAAAACTAGGAAAATTGTGCAATTTATATCATTGAAAAATGGCTATAAAGATATACTGGATATATTAATTAAAATCAGCACATCAAAAGGAAAACAGTAAGAAATAAACAGTTCAATAAAAAAGAAATATAGATGAATTGCAAACAAAAAGGATGTTCCACCTCACTCATGAGAAGAGGAAAGCTTGTAAAACTAAACTTGAGTTATCATTTTTAATCACATTAGTAAAAATTCAAAGTTTGATAGCACACTCTATTTGTAAGGTTGTGGAGAAGAAACACACACTCCTAGACTGTTGGCTCTACCTTAAACTACCTCCAGAATCTGACCACTTGAAAGCAACTAACACCTTAAATGATCATCATTTATTGCTAGGATTACAGAAATAGCCTCCTATATTGTTCCTGCTTTCACTACTACCCCACTAGAGTTTATCTTCAAAATGTAAAGTTATTCTTTTAAACTGTAAGTGAAAACTATCCTTTTGACTCAAAAGAATAAAAATGAAAACCCTCAAAACCCCCCATTGTGAGAGATAATGTGTTAATGTATTGGAAGACATTTTGATCAAGATGTTAATTCTCCCCAAATTGATCTATATTACAGATTCTATAGAGTCAGTGCAGTCAAAATCAAAATCTCAGCAGGCTTTCCTGAGACAAACAAGCCAATTTTCAAAACTTTCTATAGCGAAGCAAAGTACCTAGAATCTCCAAAACACTCCTAAAAAAGAACCAAGTTGGAAGACACATATTATCTGATTTCAAGAGTTACTATAAAGAGACACTCATCAAGGCAATGTGGTATTAGCAAAAGGATTAAGGTCATCAGATGTTAACAGAGTCCACATAGATATAGAAAATAGACTTGTGGTTGCCAAGGGGGAGGAGGGGTGGGGGGCAGAAGGATTGGGAGTTTGAGATTAGCAGATGCAAGCTTTATATATAGGATGGATAAATAACAAGGTCCTACTGTATAGCACAGGGTACTATATTCAATATCCTGTGATAAACCATAATGAAAATACAAAAAAGAATGTTTACATATGTTTAACTGTGTCACTTTACTGTACAGCAGAAATTAACACAACATTGTAAATCAACTATACTTCAATAAAATTTTTTAAAAAATAAAAAAAAGTGAACAGAATCCAGAAACAGACCCAAACATAGGTTACTAGTTGATTTCCCTCAGAGGTGCCAATGCAGTTCAATGGAGAAAGGATATTCTTGTCAACAAATGGTGCTGACAGGTGGGTATGCAAAGGTAGAAAGCACAAACATGGCAAGTGCACGTTCCTCTACTCCCAATTCCTCTATTCTATTCTGCCAGCACAGAATACTAAGACCCTCAGACACAGAAATTCTTAGTTTTAGACTGGGCCAACGAGAACTTAATTTGTCCTTTTCTGATTGGCACGCTTTATACTGAAATAAAATTTTAAAGTTGATCAAAAAAGGAAATTATTGATATAACAAAGATTTTGAAATCCTAAGAGAATACTATCAACAAGCTCATGAAAATATATTTAATAACATAAATAGGGACTTCACTGGTGGTCTAGTGGGTAAGACTCTGCGCTCCCAATGCAGGGGGCCCAGGTTCGATCCCTGGTTGGGGAACTAGATCCCGTATGCATGCCGTAACTAAGACTCTGCATGCCACAACTAAGAGTCCACATACCACAACTAAAGATCCTGCATGCCACAACAAAGATCCAGCGTGTCACAACTAAGACCCTTCGCAGCCAAAATTAAAAAATAAATAAATAAAAATGAACAATTTTCTATGAAAACATAATGAGGAAAGTTACACTAAAAAAAAAAATACAAATCCATCATAGACTTATGACCAATAAATTAATCAAAATCTTCATGCAAAAAGTCTTCATGAGGCCCTAATTTACAGGTGAGTTTAACAAGATCTACATGTAACACAATTTTCTCATCTAAATTATTATTAAAGAAAAGAAGCAGGAAAATGTCCCATTTCCTTTTATGAGACTATGACCATGATATCATAATTGGACACAGAAATAAGAAAGTATAGTCTAATCCAAGTTGTGGACACAAAAATAAAAATCCTAAATACAATATTAGCAAAAAGTCCTAGGAAGATATGTAAGAAGCAACTTACCACACTTATTAGCAATTAGGGTCTACACAGGGATTTAAGTTAACATTAGAAAATCCACTATACTGTTTACAGGATTTATAGATTAAAGGAAATAAGCTATAGCTTTGCTCCAATAGATACACAAAATGTAATCAATGTAATTTAATGCACATTCATGACTAATGTGAAATCTTAGCAAACTGATACCTGGAGGCAACCTTCTTACCCTGACAAAGGTAACCTACCAAAAGCTGACAGCAGACATCACAATTAATAGTAAAATAGTGTATATTATCCCTCAAGATTGACTTGATCTATTTTTATTTCTCCTTTTCCATTTAATGCATGGATGCTTCTTAACCTTATAAATCCATAAAAATGCAAAACGGGGAAAGAATAAAGAGCTCACCTGAGTTATGTTCATTTTCTGCTCTTGGGAGAGTAGAGAACTGTGGTTCAGCTGAGGGGAGAGAAAGATGGGTGTCATGAGACATAACCTGTCTTATAGCTCCTAGATTCACCCCCCAAAATCTCAGCACCCCAGTTGGGGATCATCTTCCTTATAGGCATAGGGTCCTCTCAGCCTTGAAAAGGCACTAGCGTGATCACGTACAGGTGGCCCCACCTGTCTTTGTGTGACTCTGAGATGACCATGAGGATTAAATCTGCAGTTTTTTTTTTTTTTTGCTGTATGCGGGCCTCTCACTATCGTGGCCTCTCCCGTTGTGGAGCACAGGCTCCGGATGCGCAGGCTCAGTGGCCATGGCTCACGGGCCCAGCCGCTCCGCGGCATGCGGGATCCTCCCGGACCGGGGCACGAACCCGCCTCCCCTGCATCGGCAGGCGGACTCTCAACCACTGCGCCACCAGGGAAGCCCAAATCTGCAGTTTTTAACTGAGTCAATGTAAACTTTTCTCAATCATTTTAAAAATAATGCATGTGTCCTAACACAAGTAAATAAAAACAACAGAAGATTAGCTGAATTAAATACACCAAAGGATAAGACACTATACTTTCATTAAAATTAACTTAGCAGAATACTCAGTATGCACCATTTATCTATTTTTCTTATTAATATTATTTACCTGCTGGTATAAACAATCTACAGAAAGCCTAATATAAGAGATGGGATGCCTTAAGGCAGGAAATTTTAATTGTTTCAGCCGTGATATATTTGTCAAAAGGCCCTTTTGGTGACCTACCTGTGAGAAGGCGAAGTGCACTGTTTTCCTCCTGATTCTGTCACAAACGAACTGGGTTTCCCTGGACAAGTCACTGAACTTTTCAGGCCCGATGTCTTTAAAGATTTCAAGAGAGTTAGAAATAGATGACCTTGGAAAACCCTTCACATATCATCATTCTGGGATCCTGTAAGGTCAGCATATCACTAGTGTCACATGTGGTGATAGACACATGTGACAGCAACACAGCATCTTTGGGGGGGGACATTCAAGGGGAGTGGAGACAGCATTTCCTCCCTCTGCCTGGTTATCCCTTACCCCCAGACCTCACCCTCACAAGCTCTCCAACAAAATGGCCTTTCCTGAACAGCCTGTCCCTGGACCAGTTCAGCTCACCTTGCTCTTCTCAAGGCTGGCCCAAACCCCCCACCGTCACATAGTCTGGTGGCTTCTGGAGGTGAGGTCATCAGCAAGACTGGCTCATTCTGAGCAGGGAGATTAAGAACAGCTTCTGATCTTGCAAATCTAGGATCTGCTCCTTTCTGGGCTCTTCTGTCTCTGCTCTGAGGCTCTGGAACGAGGTCTAAGGTCATAGGGGTGCTCTCTTCCAGGTAAGACTCCTGTTAACAGAGACTCCCTGTTAACAGAGACTCCCTGCTTCCTACTTCACAAGGGTCACTTTGTTTCAAGGTAACTGGGATGTGGATCCAAGAAACAATTCGTTTTAGGAGCAAAAGCCTAATTCTTGGAATTCATTATAATACCAGACTTAAAAGACAGACAGCCTGACAACGCAGAAGGGGCCAGGGACCTCTGTCTGCCCCAAGTGACCTGAAGAGACACTAGAAATCCCAGAATACATTTTTTTTTTTTTTTTTTTTGCGTTATGCGGGCCTCTCACTGTCGTGGCCTCTCCCATTTGCGGAGCACAGGCTCCGGACGCGCAGGCTCAGCGGCCATGGCTCACGGGCCCAGCCGCTCCGCGGCATGTGGGATCTTCCCGAAACGGGGCACGAACCCGCGTCTCCTGCATCGGCAGGCGGACTCTCAAGCACTGCGCCACCAGGGAAGCCCCCAGAATACATTTTGACACATGGTAGGATTCTATCTACATTCACTTTCCCTTATACTTCTGGGAACCAGGGACAGGCCTCTTTGCTAACTGCCCTGAAGGGTACAATGTGGGTATTAGGTAGGTGTGATACTTAGACAAAGCCTGAGGCTGTAAGTAAAGCACACCTGCCCTTGAATCTAAACTCCCTCACTACTAGCTTGTGACCTGACCACACCGTTCCACCAATCTGAGCCTCGGTTTTTGTTAAAGTGGTAGTGAGATAACATAAAGCAGTCCAATGAAAAGAATAAAGTGTCTTCCAACTATAATAGCAGTTGTCACTCAGTGCTCAGTATCTGGCACTAGTCTAAATGCTTTACAAGTGATAACTTAGATCTAAGTTTCTAAACAACGCCATTAAACAGTCATCATTAGTATCATTTTCATATGAAATACCTCTTACCCAAGTTCTTTCTGTAACCCTGCTTACAGGTGACACACCTGTAATTTACCGGGCCCTTCTGCTCCAGAGCTGGGGCTCTCATTGCAGACCCCTGGCCACCGTCAGCACTATAAATTCACTTTGCCCCCTGCCGCCGACATGGGCTTTTTTTCCCCTGTCGGGCTGCAGGCGGGGCCGAGCACACGGTCCCCACACACCCAGGCCTACACTGAGCACCTGCTCTTAACCGGACCAGCCCGACCTGCACCCCGGGAGCCCGAGGGCCGGGGTCACCCCCTACCGGCCTCCCCAAGGCTGAGGGCCCGCCCGGGCGCATACACCGGCGTTGGTGGGAGGGAGTCCCAAAGATTTTCCGCTTCCATCCCTAGGCACAAATGCACCCCTCTCAGCTGGTCCCCCCGCACTCTCACCCCAGGTGCGCACCCTTCACTTTCCGAGCAGACTCCCAGCTTCCCAAACCTCTTCCCTGAAGTCCAGAGGAAGAGGAGGCGGGGATACAGCCACACACGCGCAGAAGCAGCCCAGAATCCCCTTCCCAGAGTGCCGCGCGGTAAAACAGAAGGATTCAAGACTACATTTCCCATAGACCTCCGCGTCCACTGCAGCGGTCACTCTTTAGGCGTTTACGCATTTTAGAAAGCTGAAGGGCGATGTCTTATAAGTATCCTGCCCAGCCTCTCAAGGATCATGAAGAGAACGGGTTAAATATCAACTTAAATGCCAGATGCAAAGGGTCGTCCTCTATTGGCTCCCAATTGAAATAGCAGTGTTTTCATAAGTCATTTGGAGACAGCTGGGGAAACTTGAATATGGATTGGATATTGAAAATGTTAAAATTACCATTACGTAGGTAAAGTGTGAAAAAATTCTGAGTTACGTAAGAAAATTGGTTTTGTAAAAAAAAAAAAAGGCAGGACAATTGAGGTATTTAGGATTGAAATTATATAGCTGTAAAATTATAATTTTGTAATTTTTCAACTTGGGACCTCTACACTGTTTCTATACAGCCAACAAACCCATTAACCCCTAAGCCCCGTGCTGGCACCCCTGGAGCCCAGTGTGGAGGTCAAGGCAGTGCTGCAGGTATAGATGTATTGATATATAAGGAAGATGTTAGTTTTTATGACCCAACATTGTTTTCAGATGAATTCTATTATTGTTTCAACAAATTTTGTTAATTAAATTACGTTGATCTTGGATTTCTGTGCACATAACAAGTTTGCTTGCTTTTTGCTGACATACGTAATTCTTTGTCATTCTTTAATGAATTACAAATAACAGCACAAAAATGCTGGTCAAACTGTATTAAATCAATATTACATTAAATCAATCATAACAGACTTTAACATAAATTTCACTAACGGAAAGAAAGTGGTCACTACATATGTTCATGGAACAAGTATTTATTGAAAACTTGCTGTGCGATAAACATCATTCTAGATGCTGGGATAACAACATCAGATAAAAGATATTAAATTCCCTATCGCCATGGAGTTTATGATCAGGGTTGTTGTCAGGGTCACCTCAAAAAACACGTGTCAGTTGTCAAGAAACAAAAGGACACTTGAGTTTAATAAACGGGGGCTCCAAAAACATGGGTAGGGTTGGTGAAGCATCCTGTAACTGATGATGGTAGGGAACCATTATTACCATCAGTCTTATAGTGAGGTAAGTAATATTACCAGATCCTGGCAGAAAAGGCTACACTTATGAGAGCTGTGGCCTTAAGAAGAGAAACATTGTAATGGCCATTACATGGCTCTGCACAGCCAGCCAAAGTTATAAATACACAAACCTCACTAGTTTTCTTCCCTCTAATGTCCTATCCTCTCTTAAGCATTTGTAAACCCTATACAGTACCTATTCGTAGAACTTCATCCACATCGTCTCCTCCAGACATCTCATTCCAGTCTTATTTTTGTCTAGCCCCCGTCAACTCATTGAGCTTTGGACATGAATCAGTATAAATCTAAACTCAGGACACAGCTCTTCACAAAGTGAGCTACTGAATATACCTCCTTAAAATTTGCCCCTGGGAAGATTTCTTATCACTACACATTTGAGAACCACTCCTAAGTGAGACTGTAATTGCAGTAGCCATAACTTCCAATGATGCTACCATACATTGTAGATCCAGTTTGAAGGAGATTCAACTGGTAGATGGCACAGGTCTCCCTTAGGGACTTTTGGGGAATGATTAATTGTATATACTTGTGACTAAGTTATGAGAAATTTTGTCCAAAGGACCCAGTCTCTCCTTTACTTGAAGCCTCCTGTCTATAAAGTAGGATATATCAAGGACTGAGAAAGAGGATCTGAATCCCTGTTATGATGACTTGTGTTTTCTGCCCACGAGACATAGAATTTCATATAGGTATATATGTCAAGAAGTATCTTTGTAGGGTGCCTATCTATTCTATTTCACAGACTTCATTATTGTAGAGCCACTTCCACAGATGTCTTCAGGTTACCACAAAAGATGGCTGCACGTCAAAAAAATCTTAGTTTTAAAAAATATTTATCAGGATCTCATTAGAGAAATACATATTTCATTGGTATGAAATGCAGCATGGGCTGCTCCTGAGTCCATTGTGGGTATACACATATTGATAAATTTGCCCCTATCTAAACATAATTCATCCCTCCTGGTTTAATACCCTAAGGATCCACCCAAATATATGCGACCAAGTTTCTGCTTGTATTACTGAGCAAGATCATTTTTAAA